CACACACACACACACACACACACACACACACACACACACACACACACGCGCGGTCTCTATCCCTTTCGATTCTCTATCTATCGGCTCGATTTTGTTTATTTCGGCTCTGTGTATCTTTTGAGCCAAACTCACTCACTCACTCTCTCTGAGAGCGCGCGCGTTTTCACTTCCATTGACTGCACTGAAGGAGCGCGCGTACACGTTCAATGTACGATACGAAAATATATATTTTTGTATATACACATGTATAGGGAGCAAACGCGCGGGGACAGCCAAAGAAAGCAACATGCGATCTCAGTGACGACGGCGAAACGTTAAGCGAAAAAACTGAGCCAGCGTGATACGCATTACAAAAGAATTAAGGGGAATCGGCTGAAAGCCATCATCGAATTAGTCGCATTTCGTAAGCATGAATAAATAGACGCGTTTAGTTTGCGAACACACGATTTCGAAGAAAAAGAAGAAATAAATTCAAGAAAATTATCTCTTTATATTCAGAAAAAAATATTGTATTCTTCGACGAATATGAAAGAATTGGTGAAAAATTGAAAAACCGCTCCTCATAGAATGTTTGTGTTGAAAGTTTTGTTTTTGCTTCTTTTGTATTTGTCATTTTGATTTGGAACAGAATATATATATACAGTTCAGTACAGTATCAGTGATTGTATTTGGCACGTAATCATTGACAAGAAAAAAAATTAATAGCTGACGAATTGAACGAAGAAAAAAAAGAGCCGTCTTTCGAGTGAAAAGCAGATTGTTTATGGTAAACGTTATCATTTTCATTCCCGATTCCGAAACATGTTTTGATGTACAATGAAATTTTAAGAGTGAAAATTTCGTAAAGGCCAATAAAAAAAAATGGTAAAGCAAAAGTGTGTGAGCCATCCAAAGAAAAAGAAACACAAAATTCAGTGAAAATTGGTCGTGTGTCGAAGCCAACATACATTCTTCGCTAATGCTCCCTTTGGAAATATATCAGAGGATGTGTGAAATAAATTTGGAACGAAATTATGTTGTTTGTACAAACTTCCAATGTGTGACTTCGTTCGTACCTTCTTTTCTATTATCATTTTCGTTTTGTTGTTGTTTTCATTTTTTGAACCGCGGCAAAATGAGTTTACAAAACATATAAAACACAGACACACATCCAGTAATGTTAAAATAAAATAGCGAATCAAAAATGAGCGTGGGAAAGAGAGAGACTCGGCAGAAAAGAATTTCGATGTAGTTAAAATGAAAAAAAAAGAGAGAAAAAGAAGAAGCAGATTGTTATGGAGTGTAAAAGAACTTACCGACGACACAACGACACACAGCACACACACACACACACACACACACAGAGAGAGAGAGAGAGAGAGAGAGAGAGAGAGAGAGAGAGAGAGAGAGAGACTCAACGAAAACGATGTGATGATGGCGATGAAAGAAAAAGAAACCCAAAAAAGCAAAGCAAAGCAAAAGAAGAAGACCTCTTTCCGTACAAACACATTGACGGCAATTAGTTATTTTTGTTGTTTTGTATTCTATTTTTCCTTCGTCCGTCGAATGTATATATACATAAGCCTGTCTGTCACATCGGCTCGTAGATATGTGCGATTGTTTGTGTTTAATACATGCATGCACGCATTCATGTCTGTCGTTTCAATCAGCAGCAGCAGCAGCAGCAGCAACACTACACACCACGTATATATTGATATGTTCTTAGAAGCATGCAGTTCACCCAATCGTTCGATTTATGGTGTGCGTGTGTTGCATGTGTGCATGTGCACGAGTATGAAGTTCACGCGATAATTTGTATTACACGATTCCGATGTATTCGTCGCTCTCTTCACAGAGCAGCATATAAAATAGTTGGTTCGGGTTTTTTTGTCGTTGTCTTCGCCGTGTTTCGTTTCCATTCAGTTTCGAGGAAGGCGCATACGAGTATTGGCTGTTTAGTTGGCCTTTCAGTGTATTGAACTTTGTGTGTTTGCGCGCCTTTATCGCTCTCCGGTGTGTTCTATTTTGCGCGCGTGCATACGCTTCCATGTAGACGACGGCTACAACTACACGATGACGGTAACGGCGACAGCGGCAGCAGTGGAGAGACAACGAAAACAACAAACAAATGTATAGGGTGCGCTTCAGACGTTGACTCAACACCCAATTGCATGCAATCGTGTGTCTTGGGCGAACAAGAACGCCCTGTAGAACAGCACAGCATTTCGTGCGCGCCTTAAGAATGTAGACGCATGTGTATGGGTGAAACGCGCGCACGTCTATCTATGTACGGAACGCGAGAAGCGAGTAAAAGTGTGTTCGAAGCAGGGCGGTTCAACAAAAAACTCATGCTGCACAGCACCAACATATCGGTTCGGTATCGTTGTCAACCGATCGCATTTCTCCACGAAACACCCTGTTTCAAAAATAAAATACGAAGTTCAAGCATTTTTGTTTCTTTCGTTTGGTCGGTCGGTCCTTCGTTTGTTGTGTCAATGTTGTGCCGCTTTCTTCTTCTGAATATATCAGTACGGCCTGTTGTTGTTGTTGCTGCTGCTGCTATTATCATTGTTATTACTGTTATTATTATTATGGTTGTTGTTATTACTGTTATTATTTGTGTGTTCCCGTCGTGTGCTCGCTCTGTGATACACACAATCGAGACTTCTTTCACGCAAGGCGTTCGATGTACGCGACAGTTATATAGATTTGAGTGTACCGTACACACACGGTTTGTAGTGTAATGTGCGATTAAGTGATTACTTTGTCTCTGCCTACAGAAAGGAAAAAAAAAACAGAACGACGACAAATAGAAATCAATTCGAAATACTACGTTCCGGACTTAACGGATCGAACTTGTTTTGGACTTTCATCATTGCAAAATACCAATTCGAAATAATAAAAAACCATCGTCATTCCAGCGAAAAAAAGTAACGAAATGTGTAAAATTCCGTATATTATAAAAGAAAAAAAAAATAACACGACCGTATAAAACTACGCAAGGGAAAAACAATGTGCTTTATTCGACAGAGAAGAAAAAAAAAATACTTAAAAAAATAGACGACACCCAAAACATCGTCCGATATGTACTGAAATCCATTGAAAAACGCGTGTAAACGGCGCTGCGACAAATTTTTTCCGTTTCGATTTTTCTACATTTTTCTGAGGTGTTCTGTCTATTTTCTCGTCTACCTAATTCAACGATGTTATTTGTCTTTTTCGATTTTGATAGTTCCATTTGACTTTATCATGTCCGATTTTCGTGTTCTCCATCAACAATGTCTATGTTGTGTGATTTTTTCCCCTCTGTTCAACGAATATGTATACAAATGTGTTAGAAATATATTTTGACAAATGCGGAAAAAAAGTACTAAAATAATCCAGATCATCATGAAATGAGTGAATGGGTTGACACACAGAAACAAACAACATCGAACGAATGACACAACAACACGACAGTTTTTCGATTAGCCTTTTGTTGGCATTTCGGCACTGAATTTTTGCCGTAATTTCAAGTGTTGGGAAAGTGAACAGGCTCAAGACAACCAAGCTCGCGCTGTTTTATTTTTCTCGTTGTCTTATGAGTTTTTATTTCTTGTCATCCTCTCTCGCGAAAATATTGCTGTTGTTGTTTTCGTCGTAGACGTAGTTGTCGTCGTCGTTGTCGATGGTGTGTTTGATTGTGTAAGCGCATATGTGCGACGTTTGACAGTGTGCCGAATAAAATAGATGTATTATTGTAAAAAATGTAGAATTTGTGCGGTGTGTACGTATGAATTTTGTGGCATCCTTGATGTTTATATCGTCTACCTTGTGCTGTTGTTACTGTTGTTGTTGTCATCATCGCCGTCGCTACGTTTTTATTTGCGGTCGGCTCCCACATGTGATACGCGGCACAGATCATTTCTAATTGTTTTCATGATGAATCCCATCCGAAATGACACACACAAAATAAAAACTACAGTATCGAAGGAAGCTTTAGCCGCTTTTTGCTTGACCAATTTTGTGACTGTGTTTACAAAACCCTGTTCGTTTTTTTTTGTCTGTTTCCTTTCGTAGAATATCGAAGCAACAATTGTTTTTTTTTCGGGATCTTAATTGTTTATATCCATTCAAATATGAAAACTGATCGTTCTCCCCATAATTAAGAGTTAGCCACGAACGTGACGGTTTGTTTATTTTTGTAATTGTGTACATTTGACGTTCTCTCCACGGTCGATGATAACGTTAACTGATTTCAGTGGACGAATTGGATAAGCCGAGTAGTATAAGCCTGCTTTTTGCCCATTTTCCATGTGGATTTTTTTTGTTCGTTATGTTCGTTTATTTGTTGTTGTTGTTGTTGTTGTGTGAATGTGTGATTTGATAGGTGGCCTTCACTGGAGTGCGTATCAAAACAGATTTATTATTTAGAATTTGTGCGTGTGATTTCCGTAAATTGAAGTACGCGTGTGACGCGCTTGTATAATTCTTGATACAATACAACAACTTAACCTAGTTCATATTGTTGTTCTCAATTGTGTCTCTCGACCAAAATCCCATCGATTTGAATTGTGGCTGCTCTGTCTAGATCGAACAGTCTTGCTCTCTCTCTCTCTCTCTCCCTCTCTGTGGGTCTCTTGCTTCGATCTTTGGAAATGTCAAACCTGTGCTTCTACCGTCCACCCGAATCTACGCCATATTTTTTTTTTTCATTATCGTTATCGTCAGGGGCATATACTTGAGTCACACACATAATCAAACACATAAATAAAACGCTGCAACTGTTCAATGGAATTTCAGCATTTTCATGTAGATTTTATTTTCATGCCTAGTTTTTATTTTTTATTTTGAAGTCGAACAAAAACATTCGAATTCCATACCAACAATATGCGTACGACGCAATTTAAAGCCACGGTCAATATTAAAATGCGAATTGAATTCTTAGTTAGTTTTGGATACATATCGATCGACAGTCAGATAAAAGAAAATAAAATTTTGGGTTTCACCATTTGGGATTGGCCATTAAATAAGATCAGCTAATCAAAAATCTACAATTTCATGTTGTGTCGAGTCAATTTTATTAATTGATGAAGGCGAGAGAGTGCGAGAGAGAAAAAAAAACTGAGCAAAACTCAACATTGTATTATTTTTTTCTTGCACTTTCACACGCTATGTACATTGTATACATCGTGCCATACTGAACGGAACAAGAAAAAAATATCCATTGCATTTCTCTCAATATGACGTCAACGCAAAATCATTTATATCGAGTGTATGTGTGTATATCGTTTCAGCGTGAAGCCATATGGCTAGGAAACAATCAAAATAGAAATTGAGACAAAGTGAAACATAAAGTGCATCGCAAATCCACTGACGTAAAAGGACATTTTATTCGAAACGTGGCCAACTCACTCGAGTTCAGTCACGTACTTTTTTGTTGTCATGTTTTTCCCCCTCATCTGGGTATATGTATGCATGTTGAATCATTGTAAAGAATCAAAATTTCATTTTCACTACATAAACGGCTAATGATGGATTTCTTGAGCAGCAAATTTTGGCGCCAGACTTCTTTCACACGTTCTGCTTCCGATGTTTATTGTTGAATTGGCACTCACTTTTGGCTTGAGTCAATAAATAAAACCACACATTTGTATACATATTTCTGTTTGCTAACGCGCGTTTTTTCTTTGTTTTTTTTTCAACAGATCCCCGGAAAAGTGACAAAGAAACTCCGAAGAAGAAGAAGAAGAAGAAGAAATGTAAGAAATTCAACAGCAACATAAACAACGACGTGCAAGTGTTTTAGTGACCATAGAATTATCACAAAAGTAATAAAAAGAAGAAGAAGAGAAAAGATTAAATTCGAGATGATGGTGTTTCACTCGTTTGCCAAAATCATCTGAGACTTTGAAATATCAATAAATTTACTTGTTTCAATGTTAAACTGTGTGTGAAAATTATGTTGTGTGAAGTGAACATTGATGATCCAGATACGAATCCAGTACAATATTACACGAAAGCAAAACGATTGCGATATTCAAATTGAAGGATTATTCGTATCGAAGAAAAAAAAAACAATTGAAAAATTTACGTTTGAAAACTAATTGATGACAAAAACAACAACAAAAAGAAACAAAATTATTATACGTCGTAAAAATTAGTTCGTCACAACTCGATAGCTGATCGATAGGTAAATAAAAACAAAATATAATTTTTTTTACTTTATTCGTTCAACTGTATATGCAAATAAACATATTGCTCGAGTGGTAACAACAAAAAGACGCATAGCTCAAGCACGAACAGCTAATAAAATTGCAGTCATATTCAATCGCTGGAATTCGAAAACAAATACGTTTTTTGACGGTTGCAATGCCAATAGCAAGACCGAGAAAATATATATTCATACACACTCAGCGCGGCGAGCAGAGAAATGCGGGCATAAGGGTCATTCCGGTAATGTAGTTGTTTCGGCATCTTTGCCAAATGTAATGAAAAACGCACCTTGAAATCACAACAGCTTCAATAGCTGACATACACACACAAGTAGAGAAAAAAATGAATAAATTTTCTGGTACTGTTTGGACGAATATGTCCGTTGTTCTAACTGAACCCCATACAAATGTAGCAGGCAGAACGAAAATAACAAACGCATCGATTTGAAATAGAGGCGGACATCATCTGAACATACATCAGAAAGAAAAAAAAAACACCATAATATTAATGGGAAACAACTCAAAAACAAGTATTGAAATCACATTTGATGTTGTCTACAAGAAAATTAGCCCTCTTTCAACTGTTTCCCTACTACATGATAGTATGATCACACTTTACCATTTTCTTTCTCTCTCCATATTTCGTTCCTGTGTTGGGTCCGGTTCGGTATGGTTCGTTTCGCTTCGAGTTTTATGACCAGATAATCAATTTTTCCCATGCGTATAGCAATCCACTATATTGATTAACACTTCAGAGCCCCGAGTGAGTGCAATTCAAATCAATTGTGATTGATTTAAATTGTGGCAATGGCTAGTTTACCGCGCACACAAACACACACACACACACATACACTCATTCTAAGTCGATTGCTACTTGGGACGGGACAAGAACAAACGATCAAAACAAAGTCGTAAAGAATGCAGTTTGAAAACAAGAAAATAATAAAAAATAACAACAACAGAGAAATACGAAAATAACAAAACACAACTAGAACAATAGCACAGTCATCGTAATGTACTGTATGGCTGTACACATATTAAATGCGCGCAAAACACGCGTTGCATTCGTGCCATATATATGTGTATCTTTATAAATAGTTCAGACGATTGCATTTCAGTTGAAGTTCTTCAATTTTATTTTGTTCTTTTATTTATATGCTTTTTTCTCTCTTTATGTTGTTATTACTATTATGGTCGTTGTCGTCGTTATATTACGTTGTACATCAATTTCGATTATTCAACTAGAGTGTATGTCTGTGTGTTGTTTTTTTTCGGGTGTCAGAAGTTTCGCCAAGTGAGCAGTACCGAAGTGAACATTTGCTGCCTGATGTTTTTTGCTGTTACTGTTGTTGCTCCTTTTTCACCACCGCAGCCGCCGCTGCTGCTGTTGTTGTCTTTCTCTCTCACTTGCATAGCGTTGATGAAAGTGGCATTGTGAATTGCGCAGATAAAAATGCATGATGATTCGACAAAGTTTAAAGTTGCAATTCAAAAGTCGCACACGTTCAAATGGGCGGAATATCGCAACAATGCAACAGTACACACTGGCAGCACCGTTGCAAACGCACTCACATACACACCGAGATGGAAAGAGAGTCGTGAGCTAGAATTTTTGCAAAAACTATTCCTACTGAGTTGTTGAATCAATTGAAATCTATTGAAAATATATGTGTGTTGCATAGCTTGAATTTAGCTATCGAAAATCAGCCACAATTGAAAATGACACGAACTTTAATTACATTAGTGTTAATCAATTGGAAAGGAAAAAAAAAACACACATACACAATATTGGCCGACCAGTAGAAAATCTGTGCGACGTAGTTTTAAATACAGGCACATACATATAACGCGGTGCGCCATTCATAAATTTATTAGTACATTTGCAACATCATGAATGTGCATTGTGCATTCACATATTTTCGTGTAAAATTAGCTCTCTAGATTATTACATTTGACGACAGTGCCGGCGATGATGGTGATGATGATGATTATTATTATTACATACTAATTGAGCACAAATGAGTGTTCGGCATGAGAGCGAGATGGAAAAATGAAAGTTAAATGCACCGAAATGTCAAATGTGACACCCAAGTTGGAATTTATGTTTGTTTTTTCTCTTTAATTATTTTAACGATGAGGGGGTTTGGGAATCATGTGTGTATGTAAACATTTATTGATGTATTCCATACTCGTTCGTTTGTTTGAATCGGTCGGTCGCACGGTCGGTCGGTCGGTCGGATGGCTGATATAGATGTAATGTTTGCAAGGTTGCGTTGATATGGGCCAACGAATAAGGACGAAAATACGTCGAAAATATGAACGGAATAAACAAAGCCGACCGATAGAAAATATCACACGCCATTGCAGCGTGTCATATAGTCATCACAGCAGATCAATTGCTCAGTTTGGACGTTGTTGTTTTGTTGCCGTACAACCGCCAGTATCAAGTGACTCGTGTGTGTATATATGTACATATGAACGGTTTGAGGGATAGAAAAAAATCAGAAATATTTTAATAACAAGAAAAGTATTCGCAATTCGCTTTTACACGTCTCAGCCTTCAGCTTTGCATTTTTTTTTCCACATGCAAGCGACGAATATATGAGTAGTTTTGAGCGAAAATGTCATACAGAAATGTTGCGCGGAAAAATGTCACATATAGAGAATTTATCAATTGGAGAAGCTATTTGTTATCAAGAAGAACAGCTAATACCAAATATTCCCTATTTGACAAAAAATAGCTTGTCTATTTGATAATTTCTCTATTTGTGACATTTTTCCGCGCAACATTTCTGTATGACATTTTCGCTCCAAACTACTCATATGTAGCATAGTCCGAATGTTTTTTTTCTGGCTCAATATTGGAAAATCAACCATTACCATGTAAATTGTACAATGAACTGATACACAAACACACACACCCCGTCCACCAATACAAACTGATACAGTGGTAGTAGGCATTTGCTAAATGTGGAATACACGATACGAAGGAAGAAACAAACCAGCAACAACAATAATAACAACGATAAAAACAACAAAATCCGCAGCAACAGCAGCAGCAGCAACTCGGCACACATAAAATAAGTGAAAATACGCGCGCACATACATATCAACGTCATTTATTGGCCATTGACACACACACACTTGCAGGCTCCGCGTGTCACGCAGAAGAAAGAAAAAAACTATACTGCGTATTTTGATCGTGGTTGAGTGTTCTTCTTCTTTACAAATTCATTTTATAGTTCATGTGCTTCTGCTTTGGTTTGCTTTGCTCACTGCTGTCTGCCTGTTTTGTTGCTGTATGTGTCGCAAAATGAATTGAAATGTGTGCTAAACAACCAAACGAGGAGAGCGAGAAATATATCGTATCGTAACGTTGTTGTTTCTTCAGCAGCCATGCGCATTTCCTCCCTGTCGCCTCTATCCATGATATACTGTGACTCTCAAGTCAATTCGATTCACAAACAGTTTCCACATGTGCATATGACGACGATGAAAGAGAATGAGCATTCATACAGACAACGCAGATCGCAAACACACATACACACCGACGTTCCCATTCCCGACGCTTTATTCATTTTTGTTCGAGCTCTCTTTCGCTCTCTCGTTCGCCAATCTCGGCGCATTTGTGATGATTATGAAAACTTGTACGGCATATCTCTACTACAAAAAAATATATACACGAATCCATATGCTTTGAGTTAAAATGTGGCGCCGCCGTCTGCATATTCTTTTTTATGTCTTTCGTTTCGTGCTGCTGCTGCTGCTGCCTTTTTTATTATTGCATTCATTGTGGCGATTGTTGTGCCTCGCTCAATCCACTGCCGATATACGCTGGTTGTGGAATGAACAAAATATATTATGTATGTGTGCGTATGCGATTCGAAGTGCATAGCGTGGAGCGGATCCAAAGTAAGCTGAACATCAACAGAACTGAATTGAACCGAACACACAATATCCATTACGATCAAATGTAGACATATATCAAAGATGCGCTCGCATTTCTTCAGTCATTTTATATTTGTGCCTATTTTTTGTGTTTCTTGTGCCATGCCACTTGCATTCTCATGTTCGTTCGCCTATTATTTTGCGCAGTTTATTTTAATGAAGATAAAAAAGAAGAGAGAAAAAAGTGTAACAGTGTAAGAAGAAAAAATAGAATAAAAACCAATCGACGGCATTGCAAAAAATTGAAGAATATAGTAATTTTTCAGAGAGTAAACATAAACACGTACAAAAAAGAGCAAATAAATGCGGCCTCAAATTAATACGATCATGCAAGCATCAACCAATTTTATGTTCACTTCACTCTTCCGTTTTTGCTACCAAGAACAACAAACTACAATGTTGCATTCGCTATAATGATATAATTTTTCGGTATATTATTAAAACAGAAAAAAATTAAATCTATCATTATAATTACGCATTCATTTCTTCTTTTTTTTTTCAAGTCATTGAATCCAGATTTCATCAAATGCAACATTGTATGATGGATTGAATGAGTGTGCTAACTAAATTGCGCAAAGAAATTAAATGACGAGAGTGGAAAAAAAAGAACAAAGCGGCGATAAACAAAAGAAAAATCGCTTTACTTAATTCGACTGTTTTCATTCTTCATTTAAGCTTCCTGCATAGCGTTGCATTCGGTGTCGTACAGGTGAAACTGCGTTTCAGCTTATCCATTCATCTATCAAAGTCAGACCAGTTGTATATCTAGGAGAATCTTGAGCATGATTTCAAATTTGTCATGCAATTGTAGCCAGCACGATTCACTGTACCATCAAGCGGAACATTTAATTTTCTGCAAATTTGCGTTCAGCATACGCTTTTTCTTTATTGTTATTTTACGGCGGCGGCTTTTGTTGCTTTTGCTGCTGTTGTTATAGTCGCCGAGCTTTGTTTTGGTTCTGAATGTTAATCTATTTTTGAGTAGCGACACTCTACACACAGCAGATAGCACTAAATTACGAGCGAAAAA